CCTCAGGATAGGAAACTCTGAAACAAGGAATCAGACTTGCCTTCAGGAGTGACGTTCAAATTTACGGGCAAATAGGGAATTCACGACTGAAGACAAGTTGTGTTACTACATGTGGTCATTAGTAGCTTCTGTGGCATGTGTGTGAAAGACTGATTCTTCGTGAGTTTTCTTGCTTGTCTCTCTCGGCCTGGTAGTTGAAGAACAAAATCCAAAGGGCATGTCTGTTTGGTGTAAACTCTTGGAGGGAGCACAGCTGTATTAAACTTGCCCTGGGTGTCACCATGCCCTCCGTCCCAGATGCCCACTGTCCCGTGCCGACGCCCTGTGCCTACAAAGGAATCGAGAATGATTTGGATCCAGCCAGTCTCTGAGGCACATTGAATCCCAAAGATACCTACAGAAACCAGGGTGAAAGAGTGGGAAAATACGAGCTAGGATATGCTTGTGTCCTCTTTATTTTCCCAAGATTGGAAGCTGTTGGAGTGCTGGGACCTACCCCTTACTCTGTTGCCTCTCCTGCTTAACTCTGACCTGTGTGTGGAATAACAATGCTTGTGAATGTTATATAGGTGGAAACTTCTCTCTTCTGTCCTTCCCTCAGCGTGTGGTCTGAGGGAGGGCGGGAGGACTCTTCGGCATGAGCAGTGTCCAAGTTCAGAGGGCACAGATGAGCGGAACCATTGCCAAGGGCAGAGGTACCCTTGTGTTACTTTAAATTGCTAGAATTTACTTTGTAGTCCAAAGACCTCAAAGCCTTCTAGGCCATGACTGACATGGCTGCATCTCAGGGAAAAACTCAGACTCCTCCCAGAGGGGCAGCAGGTGAGTAGAGGAGCAGGGGCACTGTTAGCAAAAGTTCAGTTGTTTGGGGAAAGCCAACAGAATTCTGCCAAATGTCGCAGACACGTGTGACCCATCCCAGGCAGCAGGGGCTCATTCCTGGTCCCCAGGGAGCACCAATGTCAATCACAGTGCTCTCGAAGATACAAATGGGTGTATTTTATTAACTTTTCTTCTACTGTGTGTGGGTACCCCTCACTAACCCTGCAGCTGGCATCCTGTCAAAGGAGCTATCTATAGCAGCAAAGTCACAGTGGTAAGGTCAAGGTCTCATAAAACATAGGCACTTGGGAAAAGTAACAAAAGTTCCATTAATATATGTGATTACAATAGTAAATGAACGTTCTAGTTCACATCCATCCCCAAAATAACCCGTTTAATGACGAGAGAGACCACGTGCGGGTGACTTTTGAGTTGCTGCCATCGCCTGTTCGACAGCACCCCCATCACCCAAGAGGTGGAAGCTCCCATTAGCTCTGATGTGGTGGAGCCAGCGCTCGCTCACCGGCTCTGCTAGACAAGCAGAGCTCTTTGCTGTTGCTCGCCTGCTCTCCTCTGTCTCCCTCCCTCCCTCCCTCCTTCCCACGCCCTCCTCTACCTCCTTCCTTTTCATCTCCCTGCGTCTTCCCCTCCTGCCCCTTTCAAATACAAGTTTAACAATTGTGTAACCTCCTAAGTTTTCACAATTTATGCAAGAACTTAAGGGTATATTTTTTTTAAGTCTGGTCTTCCCCCCCCCGAATTATTGGGGAGGGTCAGTTTTAGTAATTTTCATTTCTCTCCCCTCTGGGTACCTCCCTATAGTGCCCCATGTGCAGAGTCCACAGGGAGAGAACAATAATTGTGGGTTTTCCTCTAAGGAGTTGGGACAGAAGTAATAAGATAGCTGATTTTATATTTTGGTAGCAAGTGTAAAACAGTATTATCTCAGAACCTGTACTGAAAGATTGTCGTACACAAAATGCTAAAATTACCTTGCTGCTTGTGAGAGACGCTGAGAAAGAAAGAGCAGGTGGAATGGTAGGAAGTGGTCTGGGTGTCGGGCGTAGGGGAGGAAGGAGAATCCGGAGAGAAACTTGGGATCACACCCTCTCTCTGGCGGGTCACACAGAGGAGGGGGCCACCCATGTCCACATTTTTCAGGGCTCTGACTGAGGAGAGGCGGGCCCAGGACGCAGCCCGGGGGGTTCAGGCTGGGCATGCAGGCTGTCAGGGTGGCTAAAGGGGGGCCAGGGTCACAGTGGCCTTGGCATTTAGCTCAGCTGCCAGTGACAGGAACACCCAAAATAACGGGCTTAAACAAGGCAGGCGATCACATGGAAGACCTGGAGGCAGGCAACCCAGGGTTAGGATGTGGACCCCACAGCCAGGAGCGCCCCGGGCTACTCCACGCCTCCTATTCCTCTGGGGCGTGGCTTGCTCCCTGTGGTTCAGGACGGTGTTGCAGCTCAGCCATCACTTCTCAGCTGAGAAGTCCCACCAGCACCGCAATTTCCCCTTCCTTGGCCAGAACTCAGCCACATAGCTAACAATGTCGTGCTTCAGTTGTGTGATCATATGCCCAGCTAAAGCAGAGCTTCAAATAGTTGGAGAGAAAAGAGGAGAATCTTCATAACTAAGGAATGTCATCGAGGTTCCTCATGTGGGGTACTCATTCTTTCAGTGGACACGGAGCGCCCGGTTATGCAGGCATTGCTCCAGGGCAGCTGGGAGGAAGGCACGTGGGTTTCTGCTCTAGGGAAACTTAAAATCCAGTGGGAGCAAGGTAGGCAGTAGACTGGCAGTAAGAGAGGCCTGGTCGGCGATGTGCATTCTACACGCAAGTCTTTACAGTGGGCCGTCTCCAGAAGCACCCGTTCATAATTAAAGATCAGAGCAGACGGGGGCCGACAGCACTGCTCCCTCCTGTGGGCAGCTGAGGCGGATCCCACCGGCCTCTGCTATGCCCCTCCCAAGTGCCCACACTGTGAAGAGCACCGTATCAGGGAAGAGGAGGCAGGAGAGGTAAACAATTACTAAGCCAGAGCTGCACCTTGGAAGTGGCCCTGAGTCATTCATTCTGTGGCTGGTGCTGTCATGGGCTCATGTGCCCAGCAAGGCTCAAGGGTGAGAATCCAGCTGTGAAATCCCATCTCTTTTCTTTTCTTTGGTGGAGAAGGATTTGGGGTGTTTTCCCTGAGAAGTTACAGAGCAGGGTGATGAGGCCGGCTTTGTGCCCTAAGGGCTTTTGAGGTCGACCAGGGGAACTCGGGAAAACACAAGGACACGGCCTCTTCCTGCTCCCATGACCTTCAGCCAGCCGTCCCTGAGCCCGGCTTTGCTGGGAGCCGAGCAGGTGTCCCAGTGCAGCTCATGTGCTGCAAGTGGGCGCAGTTTCTGAACTAAACCGCAGCCAGTGTCGCCCACCCAGACCCCCGTCCTGGTCGCCTTGCGGTGGCCCAGGCCAGGGAGTCTCAGCCTGTCTGAGGGGAAGGGCCAGTGGGTCTGTTTAGATTTAGAGTTTCAACTTCCAATCTGTCTTAAAAATAAAATATTAGAAAAATGAAGTTAAAAAGATAGACAAAATATAGACTTAGACTTCTATTTGTTAGATTCAAGAAACATAAAATTACTCTCTCTAAGGCCACAGCTAACAGTTTCTAAAGGCCAACTCCATTCCTGAACTGGAGTTTGCAGTGGCAGAGAATTCAGAGCTGTCACTACCAGCCGGGGGACCGCACGGTGGTGGGCAGCGCTGTGTGACAGGCCCAGGGCCAGGGGCCGGTTGGGGACTGCTGGCCCCCCCAGCTTCAGCGCCCAGGACAGTCCTGAGGGAGAAGGAGGAAGCTCCCCTGCGGCCGGGCGCGCCTTGTGCCTACATGCCCCTCCCCCAGCGTCCCCGCCCAGCCCCCCATGTTTCTAATCGCTACCTGAGTAGACCGATAAAAGGAAGAGCTTGGCCCACTCCCCTATCACAGTCCCCATGTGGAGGTGAAAATTTTGCTGCACACTTACAGCCAGAGAATCGAAAGGTCACAGCCAATTGTAATCATTACCCAGGCTTCCCGACCTGAACCGGGCTTTGGGCACATACCGGTTTGATAGCAAAGCAGCCAACCGAGAGGTGGCATGGTCTCCAGCTGGCCCAGCCAGCTGGCCTGGCAGGGTGGGTGGTCACTGTTGGCCCTGTGTTGCAGTTCTCCAAGGAGAGGCACGTCATGGACCGAACCCCCGAGAGGCTGAAGAAGGAGCTGGAGGAGGAGCTGCTGCTGAGCAGTGAGGACCTGCGCAGCCACGCCTGGTACCACGGCCGCATCCCCCGACAGGTACCTGCCTCCTCTCTGCCAGCACACACCCACCTGCCCTCAGACAACGCCCAGATCGATGGCCCTGCGGGGTCATGCGCCAAGGCCGTGTAGGAGTGAGCCCCAGTTTAGCCCAAAACAAACACCATGAAGCGGCCCGCTTCTAAGGACACCTTGGAAACAGCTAAGGTCAGGCAACCAAAGTACACGTCCACGTGCCCGGTAAATGGATGAGGAAGAAGCAGGTGTTCTGTGGTCTGCAAACACGGAGCGGGCAGGAGGCAGCAGCCACAGGGTGGTACCTCAGGGGAACAAGGCCGGGCTGCGGTTCAGATGATTCAGTCATTGGCCGGCTGCCTGCAGCCTCATGCCCTTTGGAGCCTGCTTCCTGTCTAAGGCAGCAGCTCAGTTTCAGATAAGGAGAGGGGTATCACTGAGGCAGTGGCCCAGAGCAGTGGGGCCCCTGTGCCCCGGTGGGGCCGGCACTTCCTCACTACCCGACCCCTGTTCAGGGACGGGAAGAGGGGGACTCATGTCAGTGACCACGAACCCAGGGCCTAGAATGTGCTTTGTGAGAGCACTGCTTGCGTGATTGCTATGGACAGGGTTTTTTTGTTTGTTTAATAATATAGAAATTGAAAGATAAAATAAGAACAGAATTAAAGTGCAGCATTTTCCTTGGGCTCTTGTATAACCTGATCTGGCCAGGCTGTCACCCAGGGCCGCGTGCCAGGGGAGGGGCGGGTGGGGGTGAGGGGGAGCGCACAGGCCGTGGATTGTTTTTAACGCAGCAGACTTCTCAGCACTATCGAAGAAACAATCCTTAGTTGGTTCTCTTTTTTTAGTTTAAATTTGATCGTACAAAATACAGGCAGCAAAAAAGGAAGAAAATTACACTCTTACCCACAATTCTCCATCCTGGAGGAAACCCCTGTGAACAGTGTGATATCAATCCTCCCAGACTTTTCTAAACCAAGTGCAAGGTCACGCGGTACACTGGGTGGTAGCCCGCTCTCCCCACTTGGTGGCGTGCCCTGGGAGGTGTCTCCAGCTGTGGCGTGTTCTTCTTCTGCACCGTGTGTGCGCCGCCGTGCACACGCACCGAGGTTCACGGGCACTCGGGCCAGCCTCCTCCACAATAACTCTGTGTTCACAACTACAATTATTTCCTCAGGCTCAAGTCCAAGAAATGGAATTTCTGTGTGAAAAAAAAAACAAACCATTTTTAAGGCAAAGATGCAATTTTAAAGTAACCATGGTAGCATTCTATTCTAAGATAACTGATCAAATGTTGGAATGGCCTAGAAAAATTGTCAAAGTTTATACAATGTGTGACTGTCACTTCCATCCTTCTCCTCGTGGTGGTAAAGTTTGTTTTCCACTTGCCATGCGTGAAACTGTCCAGCGAGACATCACTGCAGTCTGTGTAACTGGACACTGCAGCAACAGTGACAGTTGTCACTGATGCTTCACCCCTTTCACGTCTGCGGAGCTGCTCTGCAGCTGACACTGTCCCACTTCGCAGGCCCTGGGACTGAGCCCCAGAGCAAGTCTGCAGCTTGTGCAGCGTCCCACGGCAGGGCCAGAGCCGACCCAGGCAGTCTGGCTCCTGGAGTGGCCACGCCACACCACAGTGCATTGGAGAACCACAGTTCTCCTTTTTCTAGAAACATCAGCATCCTCACAGTTAACCATTTTTGAGCAACTAGTGTGTGCCACTGAGCTAGTGCTTTGCATATGTGATTGTGCAAGGGTGTAGTGCTCCCACCGACTCGGTGGAATGAGGGGTGCTGGCCCTCCGGCGAGGAGTCAGTGTGCTCAGGATCATTGGCACAGAGGTCAGACCCGCCAGACGCGAATTTTCTCGTCTTCATCAGGTGTGCGTAAATGTCACCTCATGACACCCTCCTGACCACGCATCCCTGATCGACCCCTCCCCCATGCACTCCTTACCTCCCGGGTTACTTTCCCCTTCACTCCGCCACATCACGTGCCTTCCCAGTGGCTCGTTCACTCCCCCGCAGCAGGAGCTCCACCGCGCTGGGCTCCACTCACGGCTGTGCACCCAGTGCCTGTGACAGCACTGGGCACATCGTAGGTGGTCAGCAAGTAGTACTTCAGTGACTGAATGGGTCTTCTAAGAATTAGACATTTGAATAAGCCAAGAGCCAATTGAGGAAGCAAAGACAAAACGGTGTTGTCTTCCACTGGCCAAAAAGTGAAGGAGGAATGCAGCTTTTGAAAGCAGTGTCAGCTTGCCTTTCCCCCTCCTCACTCACCATTTCGTCCCCCAGGTGGCAGAAAACCTCGTGCAGCGAGACGGCGACTTCCTGGTTCGAGACTCTCTGTCCAGCCCCGGAAACTTTGTTCTGACCTGTCAGTGGAAGAACCTTGCTCAGCACTTCAAGATCCACCGGACGGTCCTTCGGCTCAGCGAGGTCTACAGCCGCGTGCAGTACCAGTTTGAGATGGAGAGCTTCGACTCCATCCCCGGCCTGGTGCGCTGCTACGTGGGCAATCGCCGGCCCATCTCCCAGCAGAGCGGAGCCATCATCTTCCAGCCCATCAACCGGACGATGCCCCTGCGGTGTCTGGAGGAGCGCTATGGCACCTCCCCCGGCCGGGCCCGGGAGGGCAGCCTCGTGGAGGGAAGGCCAGACGTGGCCAAGAGGCTGAGCCTCACCACGGGCAGCGTCCAGGCCCGAGAGCTGAGCTTGCCCAGAGGAAACCTCCTCAGGTGGGTCAGGGCCTGTTCGGGTGGCGTCGGGACGTGAGGGGCACTCTGAACGTGTCCTTAGTTGGGCAGACGAGGAGCTCACCCTGGGACAGGAACAATTACAGATGTTAATATGATGCCAAGTGTGACTGGAATAGCTGTCACAAGGCAGTGCATGATCTGTTCCCAACTGAGTTGGTGCCAAAAATAAATGACGCGGTTGCCGAGGAAGGGGGTTGGCCAGGAGCGGTTTTTATGAAGGAGGCAGGAGTGCTGCTGGTCTGAAGGCTAGGGCAAATTCGGATAGTCACTGCAAAGGGGGTGTTCTGGAGGGGCTCAGCCTGAGCATGAGGGTAGAGCTAGAAAGGGGCAAGAGTTGCTTGGAGCGAGTTAATAGTGGGTCTGGAGCAAAGGGTCCCTGGAAGGGGCAGGTAGGCTTAGAGGGGCCCTGGCCAGATCACGGGACCATAGTCCCAGGCTCAGGGGTTTGAGGGAGTCTCAAAAACTCAACACGTGAAGGAGATGTCCTAAGAATGAACTAGACAGCGGTGTGCAAGAGGGGCAGGGAGAGAGGAGAGCTGGAAGACCAGGTTAGTGAGTGGTAGAGGGTCAGGCTGTGTGGGTGGAGTAGAGGGAGAGGCAGGTGGTACAGGCACCAGGCTTCCCGGGATCCTTCTGCGTGTGGGTAAGGTTGGGGGGAGGACAGTCGGCTACCGCCGGAGGGGCCAGAGCAGGTGGGCTCTGGCGGGAAAACCAGTGCTCCATCTGAGATAGGACTGTGTGTCCGCTGAGCGCCAGTGTGCAGCCACAGAGTTGGGGGGGGGCGGTGTCAGGAGGGGGCTGGGCCTGCAGGCGTAGATTAAGGCCTGGTCCACACGGAAAGGGTGGCCGAGTCAGTGGGAAGGGGTGAGATTGCTAAGACAGCAGACGTCAAGAGCCCGGGCTGCGGTCTGAACCTTGGGGGATGGGAGAGAAGAGTGCAGAGCACCGGGCCCTGGATGGAGGCACCCTGCCACTGACCCTCAGTGCCCTGTGTGTGTAAGGACCCGTTGTCCGGGCGCGGCTGAGATTCCTGGTGCGTGTTGTGCACAGAATCCAAACCGTGCAGGGAGAGGAGGAAGAGGCAGGCCTGGTGGGCGGCAAAGATCGCCCCCACCCCTCACTTACACAGCTCTCTTCTCCGGCTAAGCTTACACACTTAAGCCAACGTATTTTATTCCACTTATGGATTTTCTTCCTGGACCAGAAGGCAATGTCATAAACAGCCATTTCTAGAATACAAAACTTCAGAAGTAACATACATGATTCCGAGTAAAAGATATTACGGCAGCACTACTAGGAAGCTGCAGGGAGTCTGCAGCTGGCTGCGGCCTGCACCCACCTGGACTCGAGCGCTGGTCCCCTGCTCAGCTGGCCAATCTGGGCGAGCTGCGGGCCTGCAAGGGGGGGGGGGGCGGGGGGGCTCCCTTCATGTGGAAAGACGGGGCTTGTGAGGGCTAAACGAGTCATGCCGGGCAAAGTGCTTAGACATCGTTGGCACCTAGTAGGTGCCAGGTAAATGTTAATCATCATAATGTAGTAATTCTTACTTCTGGAAGCCAGTAGAATGTGAGACTGAGCGCAACTGCAGGAAGAGAGGAAGAACTTTTATCTAAGGTATTTAGAAATTCTCCTTTACGCAGTAATAAAACTGGGTGGGCTTGAGATCCCTTAAAATATTAAAGGGGTAGGTACCCTTTTCTCCTGTTTCCTTTGGGAGTGGAGGTTGGCTGCCCAGCTGAACAGGGAGTCACTGTGAACAGGGCCGGAGTGTACTGGTCAACAACACACTGAGCCCCGCTGGGCGTGGTGCTGGGAGGAAGGCCTGCTGGTCTGCCTTCTGAGTCCCAGATTTAAAATACAATTGTTTTTTTAAAGGTCAGATTCAAAAGAAAAACTGAGAAAGCCCCTAAGGAACGAGACAGGCCCAACAGAGCACCTCTTCCGATTGCCCTTTGAAAGCAGAGCTCCCCGAGCCTTCACCTGTCACCTCCGGGCACAGGCAGCAGGCCCAGCAGTGTCTGCGCGTGGGGGTGGGGCAGGCCCCACGTCAGCAGCCCCACGCCCTGCCCACCTCCCCCGCTTCCTTGGCTCCTGCACCCTCCCTGTCTTCGGACCTGCTGGTTGGCTGGCGGGCAGCCGGCCTGGGCAAAGGTGTGTGTAGTCCGCCAGGTTGCATTCCAGGCTGGTGCTCTGGCCAGTGCAGTCCCGCTGCTCCTGGTGATCGCTGCTTAAGTATCACTTTTCCGAAGCCATTGCCTTTTGGAATTTGCCCTCTGCCCTCACTTATCTCTGAGGGGTTGCTGGAATTTCTCTGCGGCTGGGAGTTCAGGGTGGGGTTTTTCCCCCCCTTTGGATTGTTTTTTTTTTCTTTGGTGCTTGCAAAGGTAGGAAAAAACTTTGTGATTTCTGTAACATAAGCTTGTGGGAGGGCCGATTAAAGTTCATTACAACTTGCCTGGTACAGTGCTTTCTTTTTAGCAAAAGAGAGATTCTCTTCCTCCGCACTAATTAGAGAAATCCCCAGTCTGAATGGGCAAAGGACAACGGAATGCTAGCTAATTGTACCGCAAGTTGTGTTCCGCCCTGGCCCTGGTGGCTGTGCTCTGCGCTCCCAGCCGCCGCTCGGTGCCCACGGGCGCCCACGCTCCTCCCTGTGCCCAGCTCAGCAGGAGTGAGGCTGGCCGCGGGGTCCCCAGTGCAGTGACAGTTGCCCCAGGGATCCTGTGGATTATTTGGGGCACCTGAGGTTTGCACGGACGTGGGAACTAACTGTGACACTTATGTCACCACGGAATTGCACATATTTAAACAAGTCATTCCTCCTGGGTCTGTAAATAACTTCAGGCTCTGTTAAAAGGACACGTTCCATCCGGTTCGTCAGATTTTTCCAAGGCATTTGAAACCTTTATCCTGCTTTGATCATCTGGTTGGAAGGGCCCCGAGGAGGCTTCCCAGGACCTAGCTGGATTGGCCGTGAGGGCTCAGGGAGGGAGCCGGAGGCCCATTCGTGGATTACCCACCTTCATGAGAAATGTGCTCCACCAGCAGGCATTCCCGGACGGTTAGAGTGTGCAGTGGCACTTTCGTCTGAGCGATCTTTCCGCGATGTTGCCTAAAGGTTTTGTGGTTTAATGATAGGTTTCTGCCCCGCTTGCCTTTTGCTTCAGAAATAAAGAGAAGAGCGGCAGCCAGCCAGCCTGCCTGGATCACATGCAGGACCGACGAGCCTTGTCCCTCAAAGCCCACCAGTCGGAGAGCTACCTGCCCATCGGTAGGTCACTGGGAATTTGGGGGGAGGAGGGGGACAGTGTTACCCTGATTTCCTTCAGGCTGTTTTCTCTGCTCACCTAATTTGAGAAAGACACAAGGCTCCGTGCCTGCAGGAGGTGTGCAGGACCACACCCAGATGTGGATCACTGGGCTGGATGCTTTATGTGCGCCAGCCTTAAAGCCTCATAGCAGTTTTCAAGGTGAGCCTGACTATTGCCTTTTCGAGGCTGAGGAGACTGAGGCACAGAGGTTAAGCACCTTGTCCAGAGGCATCTATCAGGTAAGTGGTTAAGCCCGCATTTGAGCTCAGATTTTCTGATTCCACGCCCTGCCACTAACTGGTGGTCTTTGTGACGTGAGCCCAGCCCTCAGTCTTGCTCCCAGGACGGAGGGTGGGTGCCAATCCTGGGGCTCCCGGCAGAGCAGCTGTCCGGAGACCCCTCTTCCTCTCCGTTCTCGTCCCACAGCCAGGAGGGTGAGGGGTGTGGGAAGTGGTGAACCGAGCCAGTAGTTCTGTCAGCAGCCATGGGATGTGTTGCGTTATTTTTACAACTGACCTTCCTTGGGACCACAGGGCGGCTTTCCTAAGCCCCTCACACTGCTGCTCTGTGGGCCATCGCAGTGCGCCCCCCCCCTCCCCCCCCCCCCCGCCCTCCCCAGCGTGTGGCTCTCTGACTGTCCCTTAAAGCCAACTGGGATCCACCCTGACTTTGACAGTGACTCAGAGCCCTTCATGCTGTGTGGCTAAAGACGTGTTTCAGAATGACTCACTGCTCTCCGGACCCCGTCTATTTTCCTGCTCTGACTGCCCTACCCTTCTGCGACCATAAAATGACACTGCAGCCTAGCTGTCAGCGGTCACTGGGACTTAAATTCCCCCCAGACTGTGGGGTTGGGCCAGCTGGGTTCTCACGATGGCCTAGGGCCCAGACTTCTTTGGACTGGGCATGGCACGGTCACGCCGCGTCACCTTCGGGAGGTGGACGCCCATGCCCAATGGCATGAATTGAGGGCTGGGGCGCTGTCACTTGAGTTTGTTAGTTTTGTTTGTTCTGCGCCCGGTGGAGCTTTTTTCTGACCGTCTCTTATCCTCTACAGGCTGTAAGATGCCCCCTCAGTCCTCAGGCGCGGATGCAGGCCCCTGCCCAAACTCGCCCGTTTTCAGGACAGGCAGCGAGCCCACCCTGAGCCCAGCAGTGGTTCGGAGGGTGTCCTCGGACGCCAGGGCAGGGGAGGCACTGCGGGGCTCGGACAGCCAGCTGTGCCCCAAGCCGCCCCCCAAGCCCTGCAAGGCGCCCCTCCTCAAGGCGCC